ACGTTGTTACTGTACACTAGTGTTTGTCAACCAGTGACCAGCGTGCTGCTCGTGGCTAATCACAGAATCTAATTATGTACTATTGAACCATTTTAGACTTTAGACCTTTTGCTAGTGATGTTAACAAAACTATGAAAATTACAACTTTACCGTTTATCGTCTTCGTTTAGCGACTATGTAATTTGTGTTTGACGTTAGTTTACTGATCCTTTTTACCTATTCAACCTCTGCTGTCCTTTTTGGATGATACGTGGTGATAAAATGGCAATGTTAGTTCCTGATAGAGTCTTGGAAGATCAGTTTGCCTGTTAAATCATATGTAGTAGCTTCATAATATCGGCTATTAGATTAAATTATATTATGTTTCTCTGTAGTAACTGTGATTGTTTGGAGTGAGTGATGGGACATCTCATAGTTTTAAGTACGACATAAGGGAATACATTTAAATGAAATGAACGTGATTAGATGTGGTGTAGTATTTTCGTTTTATAGATTACTAAATTTAGTGTAGGTCTACATTGTGCGACCGATAGGGGTATTTGGGGGGGGAGAAAATGCATAAAACCACTGTTTTAGATGAATAATTTATTATAATAAATATTATATTAGGGAAGTAATTTTTGTATTGCTGTGATGGTTTGAGACTGTCTCCCCTGAGTTTGACCATTTTCCATTTCGCAGAAGGTACACAGTTGAATATGGAGCGTCTTTGGAATTATGTTGACTGACGAAAGACTCTGAGAGAAACCTCTCCTAATGCCACCGCAAATCTTATCCACGTGGACTGCCCTGGGAGCGACGGAGTCTTACTGAGCTGCCATGTCGTCGTCTACGGACATCGCGAGTTCCCAGAGTCTGCAGAAATTTGCAGCACCTATCTTAGCAGATTACATTGCCTTTCGTCAGCTTGTTGTTTATTGAGTAACTGTTGTGTCCCGTTTTGGTCTTGTCCACTCGACCTACCATCAGAAGTTCCAGTGTGTTAGGATCTCTACAACTACAGACATTGTCGCGTCTGGCCACGTAATCTGCATCGACGGTGTGAGATCATCGTTGAAGGTGAAACAAAAGTGTTTCTTTCATCTTCTTCTCAAAGGGGCGCAGATGTGGTACAAGAACATTCGCGAACATGACATAAAACATTCTAGGCTGTGCGGGTAAGGCCCTATAGCTTGTTCCAGTTGAGAATTAACGTCTAAAGCTATGACGGTTTAATTTAGGAATTCGATAGGATCCATGAGCAGCGAATCCTACCGTCTCAAGGAAGAACATCTCTGAAAAGAACACTACTTCTTTCGTTTTGTAAATAAAGTCTTACGTATGATACGGTAACGTCTTGCCCTTACAACATTTCGAACGAGGTAATGAAATGTTTTCAACATAAACGGCCTTGGCTTATGTTAATGTAAAATTAATAGGATTTGACGTTCTCACGGCGGGGGCCATGAAGACGTCTGCCTTCTGGGTTATAGCGCCGTAATCTTATGGACGTTTACCGACGTTTCAGAGCCATGCTGCCTCCACTGACGATGGAGGCAGCAAACACCTCTGAAACGTCTGTAACGTCTACCAACCTGCACTGTTCAACAGATCCATAAGACAGCCATCTTTATGTAAAGTTAGTTTGAAGGTGTGTGGACGACCTCTGGCGACTGTCGTATGTAGAATCACAATCCGCACCAGACTGTGGAAATACTGAAACGCAGTTAGAAGTTTGTAAGATAACTGTTATTGGCATTCACTGGTTTTAATTGGAGGTATGACCCTTTCTGAATGTTAGTCCATCACTTGTTATGAGTTACCAGACGTTCAGGGGCCCATTTGACTGGAAGTAGGCGAACACTAGGGTCGTTGCTGGTGGTGGTGGTGAAGACAGAAATGCGAACGTGTTTCCTGGCTGACTGTTCGGTGGCTTTGGATCCTGTTGCCTGACTGAAGCTCCGCTGTGTGCGTCTGGTTGCATTTGCCTCAGATAAGGGAAGGGCAGAGGGTAGGGCACAGTCCGACCCTGCGACACTTTCTTACAAGCAGCAGACACCGCGGGGGAGGATATTTCATGTGGTTTGCAGTGACAGGGGGGTGGTATGTGTTCTGGGGATGCAACCCTCATTCTCTCAGTCTGTCGAAATTGGACAGCAGTTGTAAAACGTTTCAAAGGAGCAGTTTGGCACAGCGTTGACGGGTCGTAGGCCCTAGATCCTGGACGGATTACGGGTGTTATGTTTTTCTCTCTCAGTCAAGTGATTTTGAGTAAAAGAATCCTATTAACAAGTGTCCAATTCTGAAAGTCATGGTAGCTTGTAAGAGAAATAATAGTATGCCAGAAACAAGGTGTTGTTTTACGATAAAATACTCACAGTGTTGCCGAATATTATAACATAATACGGAAATGTTTGCCTAATTTACGCCGTCCTCAGATAAATATAAGTACCATTTTTTTTATTGGAACGCACATATTCTTGTACCATATAAGCAAACAAATTTAGATAATATTTCAGATTCTCTCAGAAGCGAGTATGAAAATGGTTGTCTTCTTGGTTGTTGCACCCTGTATTCTAGTATGAGTTTACCAGCGTTTCAGTGGTGGAGGCAGTACGCACTACTAAAACGTCGTTAGACTTCTACCAGACTACACGGCGCTACAACCCAGAAGACAGCCATTTCAAATTACGTTGTCTGTGACCGACTTATATCCATCCAAATTTTAATTAACCAATGTGTCTGATAATATTAATAATAAATATGACAATAGCCTTCTTCTTGTTGCAGGAAATGGAACCTTTCAACCGAATGTCGGTGTAGCGCCTTGAGCAGTGAAAGGTAAGTGTGGTGTCCGCCAGTGAAACAGCCGTCACTTTCTTCATGCATTGCTTCTTAATTTGCACCTCTTCTGTGTCGTACTTGGAACACGGTCGAGGTCGTACGTTTACACTTCTTTCGACATCTTTGGCGGAGCAGCCAGAGAAGTTATTGGCCACTTTGACACAGTTCCTGCCGAGCCCCTTGTTACTTTGACCCAATACATATTTAACTTTCTGCAGGGAATTTAGGCCTACGTCTGCTAGGAGAGAAATTCGTGGTGGTACACGAAGGCTTGCCTAACCAACAGCTGAAGATGGTAGGGACGGTAACCGACGTTTCAGAGGTCCTTGCTGCTTTCATCGTTAGGACGACAGTGGGCTCTTATAATGTAGGCAACAAACACATTGAAACGTCGGGAAATTTATTTTCTAGACTAAAAGGAGCAATTATTATGGCGTGTTTGGTTGTGCTTGGAGAAGATCCACGGTTAAAAGTGTATGAGGGAGGTGGAAGAACCCGCAGTGGTTATTGAATCATTCGTAAGTCTACGAGCAATGGGTAAACTAATTTTCCAGTTGGTCAGTCTCTGGGGCCGAGAAAACATCCCTTTTCAGTTAACCCCGAGATGTATTAGCAGTCGACATTTGTGGGCCTTTAAGGCAGTGTCCCGCAACATTTTTTTTTGAAAACAAAACAACACATGCTGCATAAAACTGCCTATTTTGAACCAATATGTGTGTCTGTTGCGAATTTTATTTGCGAAAGGCAAGATATTGACTTTTAGGTAATTATAATGTGTTAATATTTAATTTCTTATAAAAATTCACGCACAGCGTTTGTGAACACTGAACTACAGGAAAATAATGACGTTCGCTTTTCGAAGTAATAGTCCCAGATTTTGAAATAACAAACAGCATCTGTGGAAATTGAAGTCTTTGTAGTTTGCAAAAGAACGCTGACCGATCGATTATTTACGACAAATCAGATATAAAATTAATGGAACAAAGTAATTACTGCAATTAATGTAGCTAGCCTGTAATGGTCTCCTGTATTTTGGAGCTACACGGTCACGTCTCCAGGTGCAGCCATTAATTTGTTTTTGATGCATTATTCATATCTCTGGGCGAAGGTCTGATATTACATTACACGTGCCATTCTTATAAGAGTGTTTTCGGAAACAAAGGGCACTAAGTCGTGTTGTTTACGTGCCCTGCCGGCGTCACGTTTCGTGACGTCACTGTCATGGATTTAAGTGGGGGCTGGGGGGGGGGGGCAGTTGTCTGCGTTACGCATGTCGCGTGAACCAGGGTCAAGCGTATCTCAAGGTTTTAGTTTGTTTATCAGTGAATTTTGTATTCACCTTCCTCTACAATTCTGGTCTTCATGTCATAAATTAGGTGTGCGACTTGGCCATTTCTTGCGCCACTCACTAATTTTATGAGGTTCGTTCTTGTTAATCTGGAATGTTCGCTGAAATACATTTTAACGGGGTTTGTATTCTTCATGTACCGAACACAGAGAACATTTATATTTTCTAAAATTACGATTTTTGGATCGTGAATAGGTTAGGGATCGACATGGGTACGGTTTTTAGACATGGAAGGACGACATTTTGAGTTTCTTTCTTGTTCTCAAGTCCAGGAAGTTTGTTATGAATCCGATAAAGAAGGTGACCACGTTTTTATAAATTGGCAGTGCAGTTATTTTTTTATTTCGTGTAATATCCTACGTAACAGGGTGGCCAACCGTACACGCTTAAAATACAGAATGATCGAAAAATTATAATACAATGTTATTAAGTGCTGGAAATGCCCACCGCGTTCTACGATGCTTCATGCTGTCCTTTGTCACAGAAACGGTTCACCAGAAGAGATATTTTCTTCTTCTTCTTTGGCACAGGAGAATCGGGAAATGTGTCTTTAAACTCACTGTGGCAAGTTAAATAAGAATTAGAAGCAGAGTGCCACGCGTTGCTCTTGTGAAAAAGACATCCTTGCACTTCGACTGCTGAAAGACAACTGACGGACTGGCGCGAGCAGGTTACGTACATGACGCGACCTGCAGGGGATCTCGTATACTCACAGCGATGTTGTATTTATTAATCCAATCCTATTATATTGAATTGCAACATTCAATAAATGTTTTAATTTGTGAATTTTCGATCACTTTTACAAAGCGATCTGCTTCGAATATGCAGTAACATGTGATTCTGTTATAGGAATGAAATATTGTATATTTTTGAAAAAAAAAAAAGGTGGTTTTCAGAATTAGCAGGTCTTAGATTTAACTGCGGAAATTTTAAGGTGTGCCTAAATCAATTTATTTTACTTATAACTGAGCATTATGTTATTTCGACACACTGCTGTTTATATCCGGGTTTTATAAATAATTGAATCTCAATGGATGTGAATGTGTTTTTCCCAGAAATTTTTCGATGCAACCGAAATATTCCTACATTAGAAACATTGTGTTATTCTTTACCACTTGTGACACAGATGTTTGTGTTCGTATAAACACAGAATAAAACAAAACTATTGCGAACAAGTAACATGAAATACAGCCTTCAAGGTAACTATTTTTGTTTTTGTTTTTTACGGTTTGCGTTGCACAGTTTCCGTTTAGTACAGGTGACTTTACGGAATTTTACTCGTTCCACAAGCACAAAAACTTTCCGTTACGGACGAACTCCCATTTCGAGAAAGTTCCCCCTTCCTCCCCGTAACGTATGTCTTCAGTGTGTCTAACAAAACCTGTCTCTGTTCAAGCATGTTGGCTTTTGGGTAGCGACGATATTTTGTGAACACCAAAAGATCATTTCGTGAATTTGATTGGCTCACTTCAACGCCACGTACGTCGCGTGAACGCTGATAGTCACGACCTATGCCAACTGCGTAATCCATCATAGAACGGATGAGCTTCCATCTTATCTCCTGTAAAGGAGGGTACCAGGCACGCACAATTTTTGACCCGCGTTCTTTACCATCTGGTTGACGTACCGACCACGCTAGCTGTGTATCAAGGGTCACCCTGGGATACCGTGCTGTTTCGATCCACTGTATCGGTTCTCCGATAAACTTGCACTGATCTGGGGTTTTCGGTAGAGAACCTCGGTTCTCTTGGAGGCCTTGATAGCAATCCACCAAGCCCTGAGCCAGAGCTCCAGTCTACCGAAGCAGGCTTCCACATAACCGACGAGAAGCGACGGACTACGAGAGTCGTATCATCCGCTCGCACTGCTTTCGTGCGACGCGACGGGGTTGGGGTATGCGCCTCCCCGGCCAGCATGCCACGACATGTGGCTGAGTGGAAGGACGTTTGTCAGTTTCTGTAGACTCTGAACAAGGCGCGCCGCCTGCAGCGTCGTGCCGTGTCTGGATCGAAACCCAAAATTCTCGTCATGCAGCGGCCTGCGATCGCTCGCTTTCCGGAGAATCCTGGTGAGTAGAATCGAAGGGCATGTGTCAAGTAGGCCGATGTTGGATCTGTAGGAAGAAGGCAGCGTGAGGTCCTTTTCCGGCTTAGTCCGGATGCCACGCGAGCGTGTTTCCTTGCTGGTGGGAAATACTGCCTGTGGAAGACCTCGTTGGAAACTACCGTTAGAAACGTTATCGCGTGCTTTGACAGACGTCTCAGGAATCTGTTCGGGCCCAGAGCCTCGACTTCTCCCGATGGCTTGAAGGACCTCTTGAGGTACTGCTTCATTTCGGTTCACTTGCGGCGACATATTGGTATACGCTCATCGCCACATTAACCATCTCAGTTACTGCCGGGTGGTGGTCCACCGTCAGAAGCTGAGACTTTTATGATGCTGTCCAGGGCTTCCGCCTTCTGGGAGCTAGTACCCCCGGCACAGTGTACTGAAATCAAGTTTTGTCAGCGAGAGGCAATAAGAAGACATTCAGTAAAGATGATGGCATTGTATCTGAAGACCTAAAAGAATGGGTCACAATACAAGAGCATAATTCAAACTGAGACTGGTCTAAACATTGATACTAAAAACAGTTGTGCTGAAACTCTTCGTTATTGGCGCTATCTACTGAGTCCGATGGAAATTTCCCGCGTAATAAAAATTAACATTGTTTTGCTTACCGGTAGCATCTCCCAGCAGATTTAATATTTAACGCAATAATAATAGGTCTGATATTAATGGTAACCATAACACCATAGTAGCCATAGTAATGGGACAATCAAGTGATTGCCTGTGGACTGGAGGGCCGGGGCGTTTGTTATGTTTGTCACGGCCCGTTTAACAGCGTCCAGAACACGCATTCTCATTTTGATTTACAGGCGGCTGGAGCTCACAGCTTAAGCTGGATGTGAGGCCGGTGTTGAGAACCACAAGCTGACAGAAGGCACTTTATGTAATTTACACCGGTCTGAGGAGTGGTCACCCTGCTCCTGTCAGTGTCCGTCATTAAGGCTTACACGGTCCAAACTTAACCCCAGTCTCCACGATTCGAACACGTTTTACCCGTATTTAGTTGTTCGATGCGTTTGCACTAAACGTTCAACCTGATCTGGTTGAACGGGACTAAATTTAACGATTTTTTGTGTAAACGCCACTTCGAATATAAGAACTATCGATGGTCATATAACGGTTTCGAAGCCATTGTTAGCAGGAGATTTTCCTTACAATAAGGTGAACTTGGCGATCGCCCCGATGATGGAGGCAGCAGGTACCTCTGAAACGTCGGTGAAGTTCCACCAGAGTACACAGCGCAACAACCCGGAAGACAGCCATCTTCGTACTCTGAGCCGCGAGAAACCGAAGTCTCGCTTGACAGTGAGGTGTTCATTTCAGGCATTGGATGCAAAATTCTTGGCACGTCCGTTCATGACGTTGAAGCCAGGATGTCAGGCCGAAAGACGCGAGGCTTAAAGCGAGCGTGAGACGTTGAACGTGGCTTCTTTGTTTCTACTTTTGTGACGACCTGCAGAAACCTGTGACAGTGCAAACCAAGCGCGAGAATCGAACAGTGTACTTCTTGTAAACGTTTCAAGTGTTCTGTCACTGTGGT